ATGCGATAAGCGCTAACAAATAGGTACTAAGCCTTCACAAAGAGCTTTCAAAATATGCTTATAAAGAATGAATAAGCGGTGATGGGTATTAAAAATTATTTTAGCTTGAGAAAACAGCCGACATTTCAGAACGCCACCGCTGGTTTCCCTGCGAAATGACGTCTGAGGACGAACGCGGTAATTCCTCACTGATGACATCACACGAATACCACCCAGATCTAGGTAGTGTTTCTGATTGGCTGAAACTTTGCCTCAATCAATCAAAAGCACTACCCAGATCTGCTTAGTATCACTTCCTCAGTGTGAAATTTTTTCGCTCGTTCCTCAAACTCCTTTTTCAGTGGTGGTGTGTCGCGAAATGTCAACTGTTTTCTCTGGCTGTAATAAGTTATATTGGTGTTTAAAAAGCTATGGATTAAAGAATAAACAAAATAACGGTGATGGGCTATTATAATCATTATATAATTGCTGTTAAATCAAGAAATGAATTAAAGAACCAAATAAATTGTAGAAATCAGTGTTTGCAGTTACTTCGACATTTATTCTTCACCAACTGTGCCTGCTCGGTGGACTTAATTTGTACGTACAGGCATACAATCCTTTGCTCTCTTCTCTACAATAAGACATTTGCACGATGACGATATTTGACTACAACTATCAGAATTCATTTCGGTTTTGCTTTGTTTTTCAAATTTGTCAATGCCGCTAAGGATTAAAGAACAATAGCCTTAATTTGCACAGTAAAACAACAAACTCAAGGATTCTGGTAGTTATAGTAAAATGACGTCATCGTACAATTGTCCTATTACTTTGAAAGAAAGAAAGAAAAAACAAACAAACAAACAAACAAAAACAAAACCATTTGCGCAATTCAGTCTTTTTTACAACCTGGATGTTGTTTAATGTCAGGGACAAACTACATAAAGCCTAGAGTCTGAAGTTTTTTTTTTTCTACTCAGAAACCTTCTCATTGGTATCGATGCAAAAAACGTGCTTTTACTTTTGTTTTGTTGTTACCATGCGTAGTGTTTCGAACAGAGAGAGCAGAGATCAATCATCTTCAGGCCTCCATACTCAGTTTTTATTGATCATAATTCATCTCTTGATTCTGTCCCCTTGCCATTCCACAGGTAATGGTAGAACATATCAATTGTTTCTTTTAGGGACTGTGCAATAATTATCAGGAAGGGGGGGTCCTAAAATGAGCTTCACCAAAGGAAAAATTAGATAGGTCCCCCCTCCAGCAGCGTCAAGATTAGCTCTGACTCCCCCTCACGTTCTCTCAAAATTATGATGTGGCCCCCTCTCTAACCCGTACCTTTATTCACCGTACTGCAACGCACTCCACTGCGTCGTCAGGGATGAAGAGCACCTCGAAACTTCGTTCTTCATAACCGTCAATTTCCGAATCGTCTGATTGTTCATTATCTTCATGGTCTTCGGGACTGCTAGATTGCTGCTCATCCGGGTTTTCTTTACCTTGAACTTCCCCAGCACCTAGAACACGAGCTACGAGTGCTGCTTTCCCTCCGCTGACGGGTAAACCGTGTTCCTTTAGGTAGAGTTTCAGTTTACTTGCAGACAGCGAGTTGACTTCAACCTCGTCGGACCAATTAATGTCTGGAAGTTTGTTCCTTTCCGTTGCCCGTTTTTTTGCTTTCATTGCAAGGAATTTGGGGTGCTCTATGAAGTGATTACAGGCATTCACGTCAATCAAATAAAGTCATTCACGTCATTCAATAAAGTCTCAAGTCGGTTTAAACGTTCTGCATCTTGTAGAAGACCTGGATAGGGTGATGGCTAAATATAAAGCGACATTTCCTATTGGTGCCAAATCTAAAGCATCCAAATCAAGAAAAAAGAAGGAACAGAAGAAAAAAAGGGAGAAGAAGAGGATTGCTGCCTCAGAAAGCCGTAGGACCCGAACCTGTATAATTTTTCGGTCTTTGGGAGGTGAACCCATTGATGACAACTATGAAACAGAAGCATCTGGCATTCCTCAGCTAGAAACGAGTCTATCTTTTTGTCAAGGGTCGAGGGTCGAGGGTTCCATGTCGAGGGTCGAGGGTAACATTTTTTTTCCAATTTTTTTTTGTAAAAGGTAATAATCGATGCAACCAATGTCATTAAAACAAACAAGAAGAATTTAAAAAACAAATGGCGCGTGAACATCTTCTAGTTGTTGGGTGGTGGGAAGGGGTGGAATAGAGAAAAGCTCCAGAACATCCCAATTTGTTTTCGAAGAATTACATTTATAACACCCCGGAAACCCATACCATAGTTGAAAACACTGATTTAAAAAAAATGTTGTAAACAAAATTTAAAAT